GTAAAAAAATTATAAGACTATTAGAATGGGCTCTAAATTTTCTAGATAATAAAAAGGTAATTATTTGTTCAAGTCAAAACCTTCAACTTTTTATTATTTCAGTTAGGTAAAATATATAAAAGAGGTTATTTCTTTATATCAATCAAGCTATAAAACCAAAAAGTAAAAGAATATAAAATACTGCACTTATCTAGAATTGAGAATACATTTTTTAGATATTGTGTAATGATATCACAATTAAGATAAATATTAGTAAAATTCCTTTAACTAGGTATAGCTGTTAGAAAATATTGAGAATTATATAACAAGACTGAAAAATTATATAAGAACTTGGGATTTACTATTAATTATTTTTTTTTGTATAGGTAAAAATAAAATCAAAACTAAAAGAAGAAAATATTGAATAGGATATTCGATCCAAATATGTGATAAGTATCTTAGATGATCACAAGAAAATAATTAAGATTATAAATAGATAAGTTTCTCAGATAGTTAGAAAGAAGAAGGATATCCTAGAAAGATTAATTCTTAATAAGAGGAATTTTCATTTAGAGATCCTTTAAAGAATATAGAGTACTTTTATTTCTATTTTTTTCATTTTTATACAGTATAACACAATTGTGCATTTTTAGATATTCCTTTTTCTTTTTTTTTCTTTTTTCTTTTGTAATTTCTTGAAATCAATTTCCTGAAGGATAATAAGTAGTAACAATTTCTAGCAATAATAGATAAATTAGAAAACTATTTATCCAAAATCTACTATAGAATAAAATATTATCTTCAAGATTGTATTTAGAGACTAAAGTTCTTTTAAGATTGAAAATTATTGATAAATAAGTTAATATAAAATTTAGTTTAGCCATGATACAATTGCCTTATGTATCTCTATCAATGATTAATAAATATACTATACTGATCTGATTATAAGCAGTTAAAAAAAAAATCTAATACTATTTAAATTTTTTTTTTTTAATCATTTGTACTTTCTTTTATACACGAATTTAATTGTGAGAAAATTCATTTATGATAGGAAAAAAACTATTGACTCAGTATCTTACCGAACCCTGCAACTCGATGCAGTTCACCTATTGGTGAATGTTAGTGTGTCATGACTCCACTAACACTTAAATTTAATGAAAAAATTGTATTAATTAAGTACCCATTTTCCAGTATTATAGGCTAAACCGGCGAGTCCAGCGCTAAACCGTAGTGCCTCGCATAACCCAGTTGTCTCACGAATACTCATAAAAAAGAAAACACCTCCTATAAAGAACACTTAGGGAAGGCAAAGACGTGGTAATTGACTTGGCTAAAGATAAGTGTCTCTTTATTGCATTCTGTTTTTTTGATATCTCACTAATTCTTATCTCTATTCTCAAGGAGGGCTGTTTTCCTAACACATTCAGCTCTGTCTTTTCGGCATACATCAATGAGCTATTTATACTTTTCTAACTAACAATGGGCTATCTACTTTATAATCGGCTATACTAACCCTAAGCTTTGCTAAACTTTCCATACTTTTTCAGATACACATAGTTCCTTTATCAGTATCCAAGCCTTATCTATAGTTTCTTACTTTGCAACACTCAATTTTTCATGCCAGACTTTCAGGTTTTTGGATTCTAGATCGTTACGCATAAATCGCATAACCCATGTGACTCATAACACCAGGATCTCTTTTATAGCATGGTTAGTTAGCTCTATATATAGTTGTCTATTAATATTTTGCAGTCCTTCTTCTTTTTGAGTGTTTTTACTTGTTCAGAGGTGTTTGTTTCCCATTTGCTCCCTTTTTTCTTCTTGGTAATCCCTTGTGTTTTTTCTTATTCTATCATTAAGTTGCATCTCAGTTTTCAGACTTCTTTTTTCTCTTGCCAGAACTGGGCTGTTGCTGTATTTATGGCTTCCATCGTTGCTTCCTCATTGCCTATAATTTTCACTGCAGTTTGCTTCATATTGTGCGTGATAGTCCCTCTGATGATGTCTATCTATTCTATATCATTTGATTCTCTTATTTTATTTGCTCTTGTCATCAGTTGAAGTGAATGTTTCCATTTTTTGTAGATTGATTCATTTTGCTTTCGGCCATTAGCCCTGACTGCACACTCTTCTGTAAGGAAGGAATTGTATTTTTCCATAAGTCTCATCTTGTTAGGTCCACATGTGAAGAGATGGAAACCTTTTTCTTCTTGTTTCTTGCAAATAATACAGGTTGGGTCTTTATAAAGGTGTGGTCTTCATGTGTGCAGGTTTGCCATTGTGGAGAGTTTGTTTAATCAAGTCTTCCATCTGAAGGATCTATTTTTATAGTCCTTCTGATCTGTTTGTAGTGATGTGATTTTGGATGGTAATAGTGTTTGTAGTGTTATATTCCAATCTATCTTCTTGGACTTGAAGCTAGTAAGCCATTCTTGTATCCATCTCAGTGTTCTCCATTTGCTTGTCCATTTGGTTTTTAGAAGTGTCTTCCCTAATATACTAAAGGGGAGATCTATAAAGGTTTAGTTCCATCTAAGTAATGTCATGTCACTTATTGAGTTTACTTCATGTACCCTAATTATGTCCTTGGGTTTGTCTACTAGTGTGGTTGCTGCTAATTTGTCTGTCAGTTCGTTTCCTCAGTTACCTGAGTGACTTTTGATTTTTGTCCACTTGATCTCAATTCTTTGTATGAATATAATCTCTATAATTGTATTGATCAGACATCTATTTGGGTTCTTTGTTGTTCTGTTTCTAATGTTACCTGTCTTGGATAGCTTTTTTATTCCATTAATTGCACTTTGGCTGTCTGTAATAATGTTGATTTTCTTTTCTGCACCAACTGTACTGATTACTGTTAATATTGTTGTTAGTTCAGCTCTGATGGATGATGAGGTGTCTCTCATCTCTGCTTGGAAGGTAATGATATTTATTCTTGACTCTGTCTGAATTACCCATTCTATTCCCATTCTATTGTTGGTGTGTCATCTGGTGAAGGAGCCATTTGTGTATATTTGTAGGTTGTTCCAGAGGCCCATAGACTTAATTTGTAATTTTTATTAATCGTAATTGTTTAGTTATTATAAATAAGTAGTTATACATATATGTTATAGTAAATCTATTTTATATGAATAGCTGTATATATTTTTAACTAATGTTATGTATCACCACTACCAGTCCAACCACAAACTGGAAGTCTGTGCGATTCTGTCTTAATTATTTTTAAAACAATTTTTTATTAAGAGTATTCTAGTTATCAGGCTGTCAAATTCAGTATCCGGGATCCCAGTTTTTGATTCTTCGGAGTGGTCCGCAGATTTTTTCTCTTATCAAGGCCTTCCGATAGTCAAGTTTGTAAAAGCCAGCACAGCCACATGCATGAGGATAAGTCCTAAGAGACATGCTACCAGTTTGGGGATTTACTCTTCTTATTATCATTTTTATTGATAATGTGATTGTGTTAATGGTAATCCTATTCAATTTTCGGATCACAACCTGACCACAATCTATATATAGACTGGATGTTATATTAAAAATATCGGTTAGTTTACAGTTACATCAATAGATAGATTCTTTTCCTTATCAAGCTGGTCTTGTGTCTTATTGGTGGAATCGAACTCAAATCTTGTGATTATTGACCTTTTATGGAATGTTAACCACTGTATTATTGGTCTATTGGTCTGTGTTTTATTGTTATACTTGGATCATCGGATTATCATCATGAGATAGATGAGATCTTTGTGTCACTTGTGATTTATTTTTCACTTGGCCCTCATGTGGTATTGAACTCTAGATCTAGTGATTGTGACCTGGGAGCACTATCACTGTGCTATGGATCCACAGGTCTAATATTATTTAATTTATAGTTTTTATACAATTTAATATTTAAAATTAAAAAAAAACTTTTATAAAATAATTATAAAAAATTTAAATTAAAAATAATTTTATAAAGTTAAAATATTTTTAATATATTTTTAAATAAATAAATTTTAAATTAAATAAATATAAAATTTTTTTAAATTATTTATTTATTTATTAATATAACATATGTTAATAATAAGATTTTTATTTAATAAAAAAAATATTAAATTAATAATTATTATTTTTTTAAATATTAAAAAAAATTTTTTTTTATATAATATGCATTTAAATTTTTTTATTAAAAACAATTAGAATATTAAAGATTTTTAAAAATATATATTTTAAAAAAATATAATATTAAATTTTATTAAACAAAATAAAAGTTTAAAATTTGGTTTTTAATTTTAGCACTATTATAAATAAATTTTCTATAAAAATTTTTTTAAATATAATGATCAATAAAATCAATAAAAAAAAATAAAAATTTTTTTATAAAATAATATTTAAACAATTAAATTTTTAAATTATATTTTTTATAATTAAAATTTTTTTGCTTACAACTATGCATTAACTTTTAAATTATTAAAAGCATACATCAACAATCAATTGATTTAATTTTAGATTTTATTGATAATATGTATATTAATTATAATTGATTTTTTTATTTTTATTTTTAATAATTAATTAATTGGATTATTCTTTATATGTAATCTTTTTAGTTATATAAATAATAATTTTGGTGATCTTAATAATTTTAATACGATAATAAATTACTAATAATTTTAAACAATTTTATTTCGAATTTATATTATAATCTATATATTTTATATATTAATAAATTCTTTTATTTTTGATATAAAAGTTATTGAAATTATATTTTAAAGATTACAACATCAAGAGTTATACATTATAATTCTACCAAGAGTTTTATTAACTGAATAAAAAACCGTTGGCGAAATTAAAAGAAATGTCAGTGTGCATTTATGGCATGATGAGACACTGATTATATGATACCGGGAAATTTCAACTTCCCGTATAGCTTACAATGTTCACGTTTTACAAGTGGAAAAAAACAAGTATTTGAAATATATATTGCAACTATTCTTGTCCACAATTGTTCGTCTTATGATTTCAAATGAATCGTTAAAGTAGAAATATTTTCACGTTTGTTTCATTTTACGGCTCATTATCTCCATACCACCCGATATAACACCAACACGCATAGAAGCCATTAAATTTCTGGCCGCATTAGAATGGTCGTAGACCCCACCATTAAAAGCGGCAGTCATGTCTTTTCCCAAAGAAGTATTTATAATGACTTTGCCGCCAGGATGCTCGCTAGCAAAATTAGTAACGTCGTAAATGACACCTTCGATGCAAAGCCAGTTGTTTTTTGTAGCATTTTCTTCGTCTTTTTTTTTCCAAAAAAGAGAAAGGCATTCGATAAGAATTTTACGGTAAATTGACCTTGAAAAGATGTTTGAATAAAAGCTTACACTCTTCGAAAGTGATGACGGGCAATTGATCCAGAGGTTTACCCCAATCCAAAGCCTTTTTCTCTTCATTTAGTTTTTTCTCTTTCATCATTATTTCACCTTTCTTTATTTCATTCGAGGGGAATTTCTTTAAGTCATAGGTAATTCCAGCATATGAAAGAATTTTGATCAACCACTTGGTTGGATCGTATTGATAAAATCTTATAGCATTTCGGTAATCCATTGGAAATTCATGGTGGAAGTTGTGGTAACCTTCACCCAAAGTCAGGATGGCCGTGACAAAATGGTCACGAGGTGAATGGCGATCGTCGAAGGGAGTGTCACCAAGATAGTGAGCTAGTGAATTAACACAGAATGTTGCATGATGAACAAAAACGAGACGAGCGATTGCGGCAAAGTAGAATCCTCCCTGGAATAATAAATCGATAATTAGGGTACATGAAGTAAACTCAATAAGTGACATGACATTACTTAGATGGA